ACCTTCCCCGTGAAGGGGCTCCCTGCGGGTGACAGCCACCTCAGGGACCCGGCCACCACGAGGGGACCCGGGCGTCCGGGCTCCCTGGTGCCACCCCCTGTCCCCCCGCCCACCCCTCGTCCCCACCTGGGACATGTTTGTCGGCGAACTTGATGTTGATGATGTAGTTGCCGGGCTCGGTGGGGCAGTAGGTGACCTTGCAGGGGCCGTCCTCCACGTCCTCGCAGTTGATGTCCACCTTGCTGGGACCCTCGATGGACAGGCCCAGCCCACCGTAGCCTGGGCAGCCACGGGGACACGGTCGGAGATGGCCCATGGCTGCTGGTCCCCACCCTGGCCATGGTCACGCCACGGGCACCATCCCATCCCACCCTGGCCATGTCCACCACCCCATCTTCACCACAACCACGCCATAGCCATGGTCATCATAGCATCACCCTCTTGGCTACAGCCACACCATGACGATGGCCACCATCGCTTCCTGGCCATGGCCACACCATGGCCATAATCATGGCCACCAACGCAGCTCAGCCACCATCATGGCCACCACCTCATCCTGGCCATGGCCGTGGCCACCATCCCATCTGGGCCTTGGCCATGCCACCACCACGGCCACCATGCAACCCCAGCCACAGTGACCATTCCATCTTGGCCATGGGCATGGCCACCACCACACACCAGCGACAACCATGGCCACCATCTCATCCTGGCCACATCCATGGCCACCATCCCATCCTGGCCATGACCACCATCCCACCCCGGTCACATCCATGGCCACCATCCCATCCTGGCCATGACCACCATCCCATCCTGGCCATGGCTGTGGCCACCATCTCATCGCATGCTGGCCATGGTCATGCCACAGCCACCATCCCATCCCACCCTGGCCATGGCCACCACCCCATCTTCACCACAACCACGCCATAGCCATGGTCATCATAGCATCACCCTCTTGGCCACGGCCACACCTTGGCCATAACCATGGCCACCACCTCATCCTGGCCATATCCATGGCCACCATCCCATCCTGGCCATGGCACACCATGACCAGAACCATGGTCACCACCCTATCCTACACTGGCCACAGCTATGACATGGCCTTGGCCACCATCCCACCTTGGTCACGGCCATGGCCACTACCTCATCCGAGCCACAACCATCCTGTCCATGGCCACCACCTCATCCCAGCCATATCCATGGCCACCATCGCATGCTGGGCACATCCATGGCCCCAT